GCCACAAACTGAGCTTGTAAAGTCGATGAAGGTAATAAAATACGGAAATGACCATAAAGTAATGTTATTACATCAAATAAGTAAATTTGTTTTTGTTTTATATGTTATATTGCTTAATGCATGAACAAATTTGTTGAAATGTACAGCATATTATCCTGCATACTGGCGTTAATGTTTAGGGTTAAATCTTCCTTTTATGAATAATAAAACTCCAATTACAGAAATCCAAACACACTTATTTGGGAGGAGTAATGCTGTGTACAAAATATTGTTATCACAGACATAGAGCATATAACAATACAATATTTTTATTCATGTTTTACAGCTGGAACTGGAAGCTGGAACAGAAGGGTCATTTTCTGTAGTTTCTGAAATGTGTCATCAGTTTAAAATCATGGAAAGTCATGAGGTATCAAGGTGTTTTTTGAGCTGCTAATGAGTTCTTCGAGACCACAAACAGAAAGTCCAGCATGACAAAGATCCACTGAATCATCCCTCCTGCTGTTTGCAAGAACCCAAGTTTTGATCTCAGCCTCTGCTTTAAATCCAAGGGAGAAGTGTGAGCTGCTGGCCAAAGCATGAGGAAACGGCAGAGGAATGGAGAGCAAAAAGAGACCAACACTGGAGGAAAAGTTGCGTTTTGAAGTTGGCCTACAGAAAAGTTTTGATTCAAGTCTCCCACATCTGTCTGCTGCCTCGTGCAAGAATCCTGGAATCCCCCACCCCCTCATCATCACCGTGTCACACACACACACACACACACACACACACACAAACACACACACACCAACTCAATTCCAATCCACCGGCACAGGGCATGAAAACAAACATTTTCAAGGAAGTTCTTAAGCCAAGTGGCAGATAAGAAGGCTGCTAACTGAACATGAACATGCACACACGCACACGCACATGCACACGCACATGCACACACACACACACACATGCACACAGTCATTCAGTTGGAGCAGAAGCTAATGGTATGAACTGACACTGACCTAGTTTCCAAAGGGGCAATGATAAAGAAAGAGTGGAAAGATGAAGATTTGGAAGAGGTAAAGAAACTCCAGGGCATATTGTGCTTGAGGACACACTGTGTGTGCATTTGAGTGTGTGAGTGTTTGTGTGTGTGTATGTGTGTGTTTCCGCTCAGAAAGGCCTGCCAAAAGCCAACAGTCCACACACCCATCAGAGCTTCAGAGACAAGCCGTCACGCTAAGTCGGGGTAGAGGGCTGAGGCCTGGGTGTAGAGAGAGGTAAAAGCTCACCGCTGAGGAGTGAGGCGATCACTGTGGGGGTTACACACACACTCATCTATTCTGCACTGACTCTGGCCAACAGCAACTTACTGTATGCTCATTTAACAGAGACGCGTTTGGCTTGCTCCTCTCCTCAGCATGCCCTCACTGGTTTCTGACTTGTGGAAACAGGAAACAGAACCAGGCACAAAAACCAGTCCGTCTCTTTGTTTGTGTGCATTTGTTTGCGAACCTCTCATAACTCACATGTCTCCTGCTCCGCACTGTCTCTAGAGGAACATATGTGTAGATTTTGGCATGCCAGTAACTGCTACAACACGGCCCAGTCAGTGGCCAAGTCTTGTTTTGTTTCCTCCCAGATTTGAACTCTGTGTGACTCTGATAACATTGAAACGAGGAACAATTTCATGCTCTCGTACTCTGGGCACTTTTTATGACTTTAATTGTTCCATTAAGGCGCTTCAGGGTCTGGGAATGCATTGTCATATGCACAGTGTGTGTGTGTGTGTGTGAGTGTGTGTGTGTGTGTTTTTAATGTTAATGCCCTCAGGCTCATCAGCACTCAAGTTTATTCTATAAAGGAATTCAAAGAGTTCAGGCTTTTTATAATGCTCTGGATCTGAACCAAAACCACAGAACCTGAAGATTATACTGAATGTTTATCATTTCCTTTTTCAGATTCATGTCATGTCACTGGCTGCGGTCAAGGAATGCACACACATGCACTAACAAATGCGCACACAACACGTGGTTGCATAGATTAACATAATGGGTCTACTCTAGTTTCAGCTGCAGACTTTTAATTTCTCAGAGCCTCTAATAATTAACCTGCTGACCAAATGATGCTTGTCCTGAAAGCTTAAAATCTCTCAGTGTCTCATTGTGAAAGTAAAAGGGGATAATGTCTGAATTTATTACTGCTGATGATGACTTTTTCAGTGATGTTTTTTAATTAGATTATCATAAAATGAGTTGTAGCTGAACACAGTGGCCTTTTAGTGCAAGCTACTGGACATTGTTCTGTGAGTTTGATATTTGGTTTTCATGATTACAGAAGTTAAAGATATTGTAAATACAGTTGCAACTTAAGATTGTTTTCATTATCAATTAATCAGCCGATTATTTTCGTTAGATTTTTTTCTCATTATAAATGTTCTTCCATCTAAAATGTCAGAAAACAGAGAGCAATGTTTGTTACAGTTGTTCCCAAACTTGAGCTAACTTATTCAAATTGCTCACTTTGAATTTAGTCCAAAACCCCAAAATATCCAGAGTCTACTGTCATAGAAGACTTCTTGAGAAGCTGCACCCAGTGATTTCACTCTACTTCCAAGAAATATAACTAGAAATATGCAGAATTTTGTTAATTTCTTGGACACAAGATGTCTCCTACTTCACTGTGAAGTCCATTCTCAGTGTATGTGCACTGAGGGCTTCAAGTTTCTACATCACACTTGTATCACACAGGATTGACTTCAGATTTCCATTTTCAGCAGATGAATGTGAAAACATCCTTTAGTGTCAAACTCTGCACATACATCATTCTTTACAGTGAAGCTCAAACATACAACTGCAGGAACAAGGAAAAAAAACACTTTAAAAGACTTGCCCAAAGGTCCAGTCTGTAACATTTAGAAGGATCTATTAGCAGAAATGGAGTACAGTATTCAGTCATGTAAAGCACCTGAAAATAATAATTGTTTTGTTCGTTAATGAGCCGTGTTTATGCAGGTTGCCATTTTAACTGCCATGTTTCACAGCCACCGTAGTTTCTCCTATGCACTTGGAAGGGGATGGTGAAGTGAGGGAGTTGTAAATGCATTGCCACTGAATCACATGAACAGACGACCTTGTGAAAATTACTTTTCAAGGGGAATTTCTCAAACATTTACTCAGCTGATGTTCCTCCCAAAAGTGCTCATACACTAGCACCACACAGGTTGACAGCTGCTGCTTTAACATTAATGAGGGTCAGAGGTCAAACAGTGACCTCACAGGTTTGACAGCATGTGACCATCAGCAGGCCTTACAAGCCTGAAAGAATGGCATCACACACTAGGTCATCGTTGTTCCCGGTGAGTTGTTTTGGGCGAGGTCCGTGTGACTCAGAGAAAATCCAGAGGGACGTAATAGAAGCAGGAAAATAATTTTACTTGGTTAAAAAAAAAAAAAAAACACTTAATTTCACACTTACGATAGCTTTCATGTTAATATATGAAAGCTTCTTAGTTTGTCAAGGGACGCTTTCAGTTTGTTTGTTTACAGACTGAATCAGATAAGATGCAGATATCATTATCATATTTAACTTGTGCATTAAGTGTGTAGGAAAGAGCAGAGATAACATTTTCAACATTTTCATTTCCTGTTCTTTGTAACAAACCAGATTAGGGCCCTTTTTGACACCCCAAAAGCTAGGGATTGTGGGAAGCATGTGAGTTCTGTGATTACATTTGACAGAATTATCTTAACGGAAAGGCTTTATGTTGTTGTTCTTTAGATACTCTATCAGTGTTTATCCTTTTTTGTATCAGTCCTTAGAAGAGCTGCTTCTCTTCCCATCAGCTGCCAGTGGTTCCCTGATCTCAGCCTAACAAGCTGTGCTGAGGGTGATTAATGTGGGCGAGACCCTCCGAGCCTCTCAGAGGTTGATGAGGGCCACAGCCCGAAAGCAGTCAACTGCATACTTTCAGCACACAGTCATCTTTTACTTCACCAAAATCTGCAAGTGACAGGCTGCTGAAAACTGAGGGAGAAGTGTTGCAGCAATTATTATAGGCTGTTTACTACCAGTCATTTTCACTGCTCTTTCACTTGCACATCTGTTTCAAGAATACTGAAAGAACCAATGAAAATGCAGAAAGTCATTTAAGTTTAAATCAGTGGTGTGAGCATATATGTATGATCCCGTATTTTATCATGAACATATGTAAAATTATGGAGAAATGCAATGACTACATAATGAAATTGACAACTTTAGAAATCAGGCCAGAGTATTAGACCAGTCAAGAAAACATATTTTGGAATATGCTGAAGAGGAATGAGCTTTTGTAAAGACTGATAGCACCATCTTGTGGCTCAAAGTATCTGCACAGTTTAAAAGGTTTTTTACCAGATTTCCACAGTGATTATCTTTCCAGGTGTTTAGGCTTCCTTGTGCATCACATTGCTTTAAGCACTTTGATTGGCTGTTAAACACTGTCTCAGCTACACATATAGATGAAAACTTAAGAAAAAGTTTGTTGTGAATATATTTTTAATGATCTCTAAATATATTTATTACATCAACTAAATTTTACTGTGTCCGTCATTTATGTTTAAGTATATGTGCGTAAAATTTGGAGGACAAACCAATTCTAATTAGTATGCACTGACAACCTCCCTAGAGCCTTCACATTAAAATGTTTTATACTCAATGTTTTATGTTTAAGTGGAAACTATGTGTATAGAAAATTGGAAATGTTTAATTTCTTCTTCACTTGTTTTCTTTCTCTGTTAACACTACAAACCCCTATATCTAAATTATTTAATATCTAAATCAGATTTTTACTGATGAAATAATACAAATGATAACAATGATAATTTGTGTCATGTTGTAATGTGATGTGAAGAATCGTTAAAGGTGTCTATGAGAGAGTTGTGTTGTTCACATGAGTAAGAAGAAATGAAGTTGTGTTTTTATGGTTGGAGGTTTAACAAGAAAGAAATTGCAGGAATCCATTCTGTAAAAGAACTGAAGATGTATTTGATTACACTTTATGGGGAACAAAGATTTTACAAAGAACAAAGACATTACTATTTGCATATTTGCCAGCTTATCTGAGACTAAACTGCAAATCTGTTTCGGTAGATTCTGGTTACAAACAGCATTTGAATACCATATACAGAATGTAACAAATAAGAGGAATGAACAGCTATTTTCAAAAGTCATGCATGGGAAATGGAGACAAAACAATAACATATCAAAACCAATGAACACAAGACAAATTTAGCCTGTAAAAAATTATTCTGAAAGTCTGCCAACATTCTGGTAATTTCCTCCCGACACCAGTGATGGTGAGTAAACACCAGAACATTCAGCCCGAGAGACAGAGACAGGATGTTCTGCAGATCAGCGGCTGTTCTCAACACAGGGCGAGGCACAAAGTGTTTGAGGATTTACTCAAATCTTAGAAAAATCAAACAATTCACTCCACATATACAACATGTTTAAATAATAGAATTTTCTGGGAAGTGATGTCAGATTTCCAAGTAGCTAAAAGTGTTTGAAACTTTTCTTGCTTGTGCACATTGAGCCTCAGCTCCAAAAAGTGTTGAGAACTGCTTCTGAAGGCTGATGTATGCATGTGACAGTGTGCAAGTGTGTTAGTGACTTTGTAGGACTGGCTGTTTCAGACACAGCTCACTGCTTCCAGACACAATGGGCATCTGGTTCTCCATGTGGAAACGCACCAGGTGACCAACACTCAGGAACACCTGATCACGGGTCCTCACCTGGAAACAGAAAAAGAAAGACAAAGGGCCTAAATATTAAGACTGGCCACTGTTACCGATGGAGGACCGAAACCACAAAAATCTGAAATAAATAAATGACCCAATAAATAAATAAATGTGCTATTAAATGCACCAAAAATAATATTTAAAAAAAAGAATCAAAACAAAACAAAGGATTAATCCATTTATATCAGGGGCATCATTTTCGATATATTAATTTATTTTGTCTATTATTTCTTTTCTTTTAATTGCATTTATTTATTTATTTGTGTATTTGTTCCTGCATCATTTTCCCTTAGCATTTCCCCCCATTTATTTTCCTAACCTTATTTATTTCTGTGTCTTCTCTTCACTTTTCTGTGTGCTTCATTATGCAAATTGGGCGGGCTATCATTAAAGGTGTGTCATGCGGTAAACTTCTCTTATTTAATGTTATATTTATTTATTCATTCATTTATGTATTTATTTATTTTTGGTGGTTTCAGTCCACCATAGATCTCTGCTCACGCATTCATGTGTATTTGAAATTCAACCCCACAGCTCTACCTGTCCATGTGGATCAACCAGCAGCAGGTGGCGCACGGTGGTTCCCTCCATACCACTGAGTACATACTGACCAGTGGCAGAGCTGCTCTCTCTGACCAGGAAATCCCCACTACAGGTGAGCAGTGACTCCGCCTGCTCTCTTGCTAACCTGGGATGAAGGATGTCAGAGAAGTAACAGAGAGAGGAAGAGGGACATATATGTTAGCAGGGAGACACATAAAAGCTGGTTATTCAGGCATTGGGAGGTTGATCACTCACCTGCCGTGGAACCAGTCCTCCTCCTGGATCAGGTCCTGGATTCGTGTCTCACAGAAAGGAGTACACCATTCAGCACTGACCTCAGATTTCACTGAGTCTGGTGGAGATACAATAGAGGAAGAATATAACAGTACAGGGTGTGTTTCTTCAACTAGGATGAACTCTAAACCAAGATTATATGATGGTTTATTTTATTATTCCGTTGTAATCTAATTTTATTCTAATCTCTACTTTTAAAACTCTTAAATTAACTCAACTCAACACTTTATGGTTTACTTTAAAGAGACAGTTGAGGTGTTAAACGGCTGCATTAAAAAGTATTTTCATAATAATTCTGAATGTTTAAGGCACTGCAGCTTCAGCAAAGAGTCTGCTATCAAACATGGGATTAAGTGAAAAGCTTGCTGGCGCCAGTATTTCTTCCTCTACAGCTCTAATTATGGGAAGAATGAGTGTAACAGCTGCATGATGTAGCAGTGAAGGCTCTGTTCATGGGCTGTTGTCAGTGACTGTTTCAATCTGGAGATTTATTCTGGCCTATAATGTGACCTATAAAGTATACTTGGTTTAAACAATTTAACTGAGTTTTACTAAACCAGGTTTTAATTTAAATTATGGTGCACAGATGGGATCAAATTTAAATCTGGTTTTCAAACTGAGTGTACCTAAACATAAATGACCCTGAACTGAACTTGCACATAGGCTCAGAGAAACACACAGTACTGTAGTTACATACATGCACACAGACACATTTGAACTCAGGAGTGTACTGATGATTTTTACCTGCAGGTGGAGCTGGAGTTTCTTCTGTGATGGAGCAGTTCTCATAGAGTGAAACAGTCTGAGCCGAACAAACCTGCAACAGCACTAGATGAGTCATACACACAAGACAGAGATCTTTGTGTGTGTGTGTGTTTGTGAGTCTGTATGTGTGTGTGTGCATTCAGGGGCAGTAATGGCCTAAAGGTTAGAAATGTGTGCTCATGACAGGAAAGTCACTGACTCAATTCCGAGACTAGCACAATAATTCTGGGAAGTGATAGAGAAGTGCTTGTGCCTCCTTTATTACCAACCTCTGAGGTGCCCTTGAGAAAGACAATTAAAGCTCAACTGCTTCTGCTCAGTGGCCTACAGATACAATTATGCTGCACAAGGAAGCACCAATGCGTGTAAACACTTGTGCCCAACGACCCTATCCCGGATAAAGAGAGCCTACCGAGGCAAAAGAGGCCACAAAATCATCAACATGAGGTCCACCTTGTTGTTTCTAAATCTTTTGACCATATCTTACGGCCTTCCTCTGTTGACGGAGTTACTCAGTTGCTATTGTTAAATAATACAATGGAAGATATATAATACAATATATAATATACGCTCAAATAATATAATGTTAATAGATAAATCATTATTATTTCATCATATGATAACAACTAAATCATCTCCATGATATCTGAGCAACAAACTCTGCCATGTGACCATGAGATGTGGTTGAAAACTTTAGAAACAACAAGTTGGACCTTGCGTTTCTGATGGAACTGCTGTTCCTAAGGTCGAAATAGACATTCAAACTCAACGGACCAAATACTGTATGTGTTATGGTGTTACAATTAACTCTTACCCCCTGTGTGTCAGTATCCTGTTTGTTCTCCTCCCTTGTGAGCCGCAGGTCCTCTATGCCACCATGGGGTGGCATTTTTCCTGGGACCACATTGTAGTAGTCAGGATGCTTGCTGACTTCACCTTCCTGCTTGGCCTTTTGGTCTGTTATTGTCTCCTCTGGGCTCCATTTGTGACAGATTCTCACTGATGACCTGCACGTAGAAAGTTACATGATATTCAACCCCCTGCGTCTGCTGTGGAGAAGCTGTGACATGACTTCAGATACGAATATAATGAACACACACACACACACACACACACACACACAAACACATACAAAGATAGAGACATACTCAATTTAAAGCATAGGTTTCCTTGAATTTGCCATAAAAAAGTTGTTGGAATGAAAATTGATTATTACAATTCCCCAAATCTCAAGTTGATATATTAGAATTGCTTGTTTTGTAAGTAAGAACAAAACCCAAAAGCTATTCTATCTACTTAAACTAAAAGGATCAAATACCCACACTTAGGAAGCTAGAACGAGAGGATGTGCAGTTTTGTAGGTCAATTTAACAGAATGAGGCTCCCTGGATTAAACTTTAAAAGTTCTACATTGAGACAACTACGCTAATATAAAAGAACCATTGGCCAATGTAGTGTGAGACATTGCTAAATTCCAGTCCGAATGAGATAGGTGAAATTAACTGTAAAATTTGATGTGTAGCAATTTATTGAGTTGCGTCACACCAATAAGTGGATAGAAGGACAACCTGGGATTGTTGGAGGGGAGCGATGGCGAGTGGCTGAGAAGTTGTCGGAAACGAGTCTCAAAGGCCTGACCGATGCTGTTGATAACCTCACTGGCCCCACCCTGGGGACACTCCAGGATGTGACAGGCTGACAGAGAGAGGGAAGGAGATTTGTTATTTTCCAGGATGTGCCGGAAGTCCAGTGTAAGCCTGGCTCATCAGAATGATAAATTAAAGATCGCGTTCAGTCACGTATTAAGAAAAATATACAAATTGTCTGCTTGGAGCAATAATGTGTCTGATATGTTTTTTCTGCAAACAAAAGGGAAAAAGGAGTCTATGATTATGCAAATTTGGATCATTTCTAAAGTTTTTCTGCTGGACACAAGATGTCTTATTTCTCAGTGTATGTGCACTGGTGGGCTCAAGTTTCTACATCACACTTGTATAAGTGCATACTGGACCAGGAATGAAATAAACTATCTTTGATGTCACAAATCATGTTCAAAGGCCCCAACCCTTTAAAATCTGTTTTTCAATTAGTTCAAGAAAACTTCCCACTTTCAGCAGATGAATGTGAAAAAACATTTCTTCTAGTTGTCCAACTCTGCACATACATCACTCTGAACAGAGAAGCTCCAACATCACACTGTAGGCACAAGAAGAACAACATATTATTGAGTGGAGGAGGACTTTAAACTGTACCATACCTCTCTGGTTGAAGAGATCCTTGGCAACATAAGCAATGTAATCTGCCATATCCTGTAAACAAATTAAGAGAAAAATAATAATAAGCATGACCCAAAAAGCAGCATCTGTGGCCACAAATGGCAAAAACAAGGTGCTAAATGCTAATATAGACACTGCATTTACATAGATTATCAGTAGCACAACTACATAAGAATCATAAAGTCAGAAAACTGACTCAATAATGTCAGTTATACAGAAATATCAGTCTAAAGTTTGCTAACAATAGCCACTATAACCTACTGGTCATACCAGGCTGAGTAAGGCTGTAGCAGCAGAACCGTGTAAAAATGTATTAAAATCAGCGACACTGCGTTTCGTTTCTCACAAATTAATTTCTAAAAGGACGAATGTTATTTCTTCTTTCTAAGGTTACATAGTGTCACTTTAAAGGTATTCTCTGTATTTCTGTTTCTCGTCTGTATTTAATCGCTGAAAACACAGCAGACATTTTCAGTAAATGGTCATCCAAGTGCATTCTCTGTTTAATTAATTCACTCCCTATCAGTGGTTCTCTGATACTAATACAAGAGCAGAGTCAGCTGAATATGTTTCACCATAAAGCCTCTGTGGCAGATTGATTTTAATTCCCCCCCGCTATCTTCCATGTGTCCAAGCCAACTGAGCCGAGGCTTAGAGCACACTACAAGATTATTTTAGCTAATTAATTAAACAGTGAGCTATAATCCCATCCATAGCTTCGCCTGTGTTGTGTTTCCCAGACAGAAACTACCTTCCTCTTCTCTCTAATCCTTGGCCAGTGCAACCTCACAGTATCAAAAAGGCAATGAAATATTACAGTGTGTACCAAGCATTTGTATTCACTGTTTGTTTGAGCTGGAAAAAGGGAAATCGTGGATGCTAGCCAAAACACAAACAAGAGTTTTTGTTTGTCAAGCAGTTTATTAAGCAGGGTTTGACCTTGGCAGCAGCTAATAACTGACATGTCCTGCTGGCTATTAACAGAGCTGCATTGATTTTCTTTTTTTTCTTTTTTTTGTATTCATTATAGACATTCAGGCCAGAGGAAAATTTCCAGTCAGGATGAATAACACTAATTCTGTCATATGGAAATAATGTGGGCATGGAGGCAAAGAGAGGGAGAATTGATAAGAGTAATTAGTTTGAAACGGATGTTGCGAGGTGTAAAGATGATGAAAGCACATGCTGGCTTTGATGGTTTTATTAAGTCACAAGAAAGGATTTCATGATTCGTTGCTTATACTAATGCATTATCCTAATAATTACACTTAAGGAGCCAATCAGAGATGAGAATTCACCCCAAATCAGCAACAATGATGACCTCGCACCACCAATTAAAAGTATTAAGGGATCAAAAGTTGGGGTAGAAAATAATTAAATCCTCCATAAATGGCAGCAAAAGAGGCAGTAATCAAAGTAAATGAAATTATTCACTGCGTATGTGTGTTTGTGTCCCTAGCTGCCCATGAACATGTTTGTACATGTGAAACATTTGAGAATATGAACCTACTGGGTCTCCTCCAGAGGCGAATGAAATAGCCTGCATTGGGTGATGGGCAATCTTCTGAGGAAGAGAAGAGTGGGGAAAAAAACAGAGAAGCAGGAAAGGTTTTTTACTCCATGCCTCAGTAATTCAGATGTGTGACAGTTATAATTTGGTTAACGTGTTGAAGCTGTAACCTGTAGGGAAGAGGCAGCAATCAGAGTCACACTGTCTGTGGAAACAGCGAGGATGACCCTACTCCCAGAAAACTGTAGGTTGATTTGACCCAGAACAGCAGACAGTCCCTTGCATACAGGCTGATGGTGAGAAAAATCATAGTTATTCTAGTTATGTCTGTGTTGATTGCATGGATGCGTGTGTGTGTGTGTGTATCTCTTACCCTTTTAGTTTTCACTGCTGTCTTGGCTGATGTCCTCTCACACAGTCTGCTGATTGCCTCTCTGCACACACAGACACACACAGATTATACGCATTTACAGATGCACAAGCACATATACACACCAAACACAGAGACACCTTTGTAAATATGAGATCCAGTGTGCCCTGCTAACATGTGACTTGCATGTGAGAATGTGAGAGGAAGGAAACTACATTACAAGAAGCTCATCTACATTATTAGTGAAATAATTTATAATGTAATTACATTAAAAAGTAGTACTATATGCTGGAATGTAACTAAATACATTTACTCAAGTGCAGAAACTTAAAGGACCAGTGTGTAGGATATAGTGGTATCTAACAGTGAAGCTGCAGATTGCAACCAACTGAATATCGCTCACCTTCCACGTGTATAGGAGAAACTACTATGGGCACAAAAAGTGTGAAAGACCCTATTTACAGCCAGTGTTTGGGTTGTCCCTTCTGGGCTTCTGTAGAAGCATAGAGCAGAGGACCCGCTCCCTCTGTAGATATAACCAGCTCATTCTAATGATTCTTATTATCAGTTGATTATACACTAATGAAAACATATCTTTGAATATTATATTTTTAGTCCCCTAAATCTTACACACTGGACCTTTAAGTACAATTATGAGGTATTTGTGCTTTACTTGTGTATTTCTTTTTCATACCACTATTTCAGAGGGAAATGTACTTTTACTCCACTACATTTATTTGACAGGTATACACGTATATAACTTATAATAGACTGAGCAACCAAGCAGTCTATGAAATGGGTCAGTGGAGGAGGAAGAATTCGGACCTTTTACTTAAGTAAAAATATCAATACATGTCTCATAATTTAAGCATGCATACTTATAATGTATGTTTTCGTGGTATTGCCACTTTTACCAAAGTAACATATCTGGGTACTTCTTCCACCACTCACTAGCATATATGTGCCTTGATGAGTGTTTAATGGAAATTCTCTCTACGTGATGCTGAATATGAAAATACAACATTTTATGTATTTATTTTTTTCAATTTGAATCTGTTGTAAATCTGTTTTCATATATCTTGTATTTCTTGTTGTTATTTTATTAATCCCCGTAGTTTTGTGTTTTGTGATCCATGATTATTTTCTTCAGATTTTATCAAAGTCTGTCTTAAATGCTTTACAACTTTTATTTTTTATTCTCTACGCGATGCTGCTTTTTTGACCAGGAGACTTGTGTAAAAGATATATTGAATATCAGTGAGCCCTTTCTTTGATAGATAAAGCTATACACGCATATACCAAAACATAGATTAAAAGAAGATAGATTATAGACCAAAAACTGCCTGAAAAATAATAAAAACAAAACACTGAAAAAATGAAATATGATGCTTGGGTCACAGAGGTCAAAGCATACAAACACCCACACAAAAATAACATCCCACTATATATCTAGGAAGCAAGACTTTTCTTTCAAGAATTGCTTTTCTTCTCCTCGAAAACAAATTGTATGCAATGGATTGAGGCCTCTATCTCACTCTCTCTCTCTCTTAATAAGACTATGAGAGATCATTAAGAGGAAATTCATCTAATTGGATTTTCTGCCCCATCATTCAGTAGCGTTGTTGTGAACAGAGGTTGCTGTGTCTATGGCTGCTTTTGGCATCCTGCACTAGGATGTAAATATCAAATGATGAGGAGAAAGCCCCGATTTATGAAACATTATACATTTAATTTGATTTCCCCCTTTGAAACATTTTTTAAATAAGCCACACATGTCTTGCTTGGCAAATATACTGTACATTGAATGAATTTAGTCAGTCAGCGTAAAGTGGTTTCCTTTTTTCCTTTGCTTCTTCCATGCACATACAGATCATCAGCTTATTCAGGTTTATTCTGAGACTGTCAGCAGTTAGATGTTCTTTCTTATGTACCTATGCATATTGCATGTGTGTGTGTGTGTGTGTGTGCTGGTAGTGGGAGGCCTCCTACCGTGTGACTTGCATTCTGGCATCAAAGTCAAGGGTTCTCATGGACTGGGTCACCTCCACACTACCCATGTACTAGGAAAACACAACAAAATACCAGTTACTCACTGATTACAATGTAAAATAATACAGACAGTGTGCTGGCAGTGGTTCTCAACCCCAGGGGTCTAAAGAATAGACAGTTATGGAATAATTCAGTCTTATGTAATGGGGATCCCCTGAGACTACACATTCTCAAATAGGGGTCTGCATGGCTGAGCATGGTCGTATTTTCATGGGACAGAATGGCTACAGCTGCACGACCTGTGAATTGAAAGTGAATTATTTGTATCCCAGAATTCCCAGACTTCTGTAACAACACTGAGACTACATTACATTCTGTTCTAATCTGTAGCATCCTAGATAGCTGCTTTGTTAGATTATGTGTTGCATTTGGGCTCTAACTATAATGCAAAACTTTTTACTTGTGTGTTTGGTCTGAATCTGCCACTATGCAGATGACAGCCAACTGTATATGTGTATTGCCCGATGACCTCAACCATCTAAATTGATGTAAATACTGGTTAAAATACTTTTTAAGTGGGCAAATAATTCAAACTGCAGCACCAAATAGCAAAAGTCTATCATATAGTTTCTGACATTACACATTTCTGCCATGCTTATTTTCTCTCTTTTTGATTATTGAAGCTACTACCCAAGAAATAAACCTGTGGCTCATACAGAATGGAGCTCTCAAAACACATAAACAAGACAAGGAGTCTAAAGCCAAGCTAGAGGCTCTGTAAGGCTGTACTAAATGTTAATCAGTTAATCAGTATGCTATAATGCTGGTAGAAATATTACTAACATGCTGATGTATTGCAGGTATAATGGTCACCATCTTAGTTTAGTGTGTTAACATGCTAATATTTGCTAATCAGACTGAAACACAAACTGCAGCTGAGGCTGAATCTCATTAGTTTTTTAGGCATTTGGTCATAAATCAAATTATTGGACAAACTGATGATGGCTTTAGATGAAATGTCCAGGGATCATGATTAGGATTCATCCTCAAGAACCCATGAATGTCTGGACAAAATGTTGAATTATTTCACAGGATAACAAAACTTTGATGTGCTGGTTGTTCTCGGGGAAAAAAAGGAGATCTGAGACTGGACCAAAATGGTGGACCGACTGACCAACTGACCAACATTTCCATCTTTTCAGGCATGCCACTAACATAGCCAAGAACACATCATGACAATATTTAATCCCTGTGTTAATAATGGTTTTAATACCTTCATACATATGTGACTGTATCTCCTTTTACACTCATAACTGCTGGCTTAGGTCATAAAACATTGGAGCATTAAATGTATGCACGTACAGTTGCTTATGGACCTAAACTGTGGAGTAGCCTGTCAATTGTTGTCCGATGTGCAACCTCTGCACTGAAGAAACAGTTTTGGATATCTTGACATTTATTTAATTGTAAAGATGTGAAGAGGATGGAGGAACATTACATGCAACTAGACAACATTTTAGACCATGTGGACTGATACACTTTGGTCCAGTCCCACTTCTATTGGCCATGAGCTTCAGCAGAGCAGACCTATAGGCTGGAGGCAGGATGAGTAAGTCAACTGACCAGACTTAAATCAATACGTGTGTGTGTGTGTATATATATGTGTGGGTGGGGTGAGTGGGCGGGAGAGTAATGTATGTGTGTGCTTGTTTATAGAGGACAATCAGACAGTCCGTTCTCATTTCCATCAGTGGTCAGCTCACAGGCCCTGCTCCTAATCACCCATGCGGACACACCTCCGGTTCTAGGACAGCATGGGCTCTGCTGATACCGGATACATTCACTCTCATGCACTCACTTACACATGCACGCACACACACACAGAAGCAGAGCAGATCTAGAGAGGAGCAGAGAGCCAGGATGAGTCACTACTGCCTACACAGGAAGCTCTATCTGAGAGGGAGGGGGTGAATGTACAAAAGTGAGTGTGATGGTGTGGATGGAGCACAGAGAGAGTGTGTCTATGTGTGTGTGCCCTGTGTTCACATGTGTTTGTGTTGTCACTGGTAGGAATTAAACTGCGTACTTCAACTCTCTGCTGGGACCCTGGATATGAGGTTGGCTGCACTTTCTTGCAGTGTTAAGTGGAGAGGCTTTACACTGACACACAATCAATATTTTAGTAATACCACATCAATTTTAGGCAAATTGTCAAAGTGGAAAACAGGAAGATTAGTCGCACAAGGAAGCTCACACACACTCCTACTTGAGGTTTGCTAGCCAACCAGTCTGATTTCTGTTGTGCACAGCAGAGTGTATTCATAGACTGTTATTGATTAACGTATGGTGACAGGTACCTTGATGTGATGGTGAACTGCTCTGTTTGCTGTCCGCACCACTGTACAGTCATCTACTGCAGAGGAAGTCTTCCAACAGCACAGACCATCTCTGTGATGTGAGCAATGAGGACAGTTGGGGGTCCAGGGGAGGCTGGCCATCCGATGCAGGGTGATGGGTCTTTTTGTGCAGCGCAGAGCTGAGTGAGTTAGGTTTTGGCCAGTCGATAGGGGCACATTGAGGGAAGGTTGACTACAAAATCTCTGATTAGGCCCTGAGTTGCACTCTGTTCTGGACAAAGGTCTGCCAGTGTGCCCATTAGTGGCTCTGTCCTCAGCTGTGTTTGCCTGTCCCCTCAGATCCCGCAGGGAAATAGGACTTTGCAATCGTATGTTGGCCACACGGGGGATGAAGTCCCTCAGGGTGGACGGCCCATGGTGTGTAGGCGTCCCGGGATCCAGCTGGGCAAAATCAGAGTCTAAGCAAAGGTCCCTCTTTAGGGGCAGCATTCTTTGGGGCCGATCCTCCAGAGACGTCAGCGAATCGTTACGCAGACGACTGTATTTGGTGCGCTTCAGCATGCCTGTAGAAGATGAAAGAGAAAGTGTTACAATCAGATATGCAGCACAGTGATTTTCATTGTACTGATTATGTTTGTAATGACTACAAAGTGAGGAGCTACCTGGTAAGTGTCCTGTCTGTGATTTGAACCTGGGTAAGGTTCGCTCTCTCATAATCGGGGAACTGGACAAAGGAGAGCACTGGGACAAAGTGAAAAAGAGAAAAACCATCCAGAACAATCAGTTTTTACAGACAGAGGTTTGGCTTGATAAAGCAGATTTGACTAGAGATAGCAGAAAAAACAAGAGCCATTAAATGCATTTAGTTGAGGATTTGGGGTAAAATGCTAATCAGCTGATATTTGTGAAATGATTTTAGCATCTGGCATACTGTGTCCAGAGATTATTAGATGGGATTCCCACTGTAACTGTACATTGCAGTAGATTCAACTCACCAGTGTGGGACTGGGGATGTCCTGTGGAGTCTAAAGTCCAGTCTGCTCCGCTCTAGTCATGCTGAGTACAGTCCCGTCCTACTGACACATACACTTTCTCAGTCAGTTGCCAGGCTTCCACTTCTGCTTCACCTCCACATCAACTTTCCTCCCCTCTCTTTCTGAGCCACAGCAGAAATGTGCAGCTTTTATGAATGAACTTTCTTTTTTTTTATGAATGAGAGGCTCTCGCTCACTTCCTCTGTCTCTCTGACGGTGCATGCAGATGAATGTGTGAATGGAGCGGAGGAGAGATTGACAGACGGTCCCTAAGGCTCTCTCCCCCTCCCTCACCCATAAACTACCATCCAATCACAGGCGGGTAGGGTGACTCATGCTGTACACACACACTAACACTTATACACTGAGGCAGAGCCAATACAGCACGAGTGCTTTATTCCTCTCTTCTAACATCAGTTGCACCTCAGAGATGCTGTTAAAGTGCGTTATTAAAACATTAGCTTTTTTTGTTCTCCGTTTTACATTTTTCTCTTAATTTTAGACCACTAGGGTTTAACGTCTGTACTAATTGGAGAATTAGCTAAGATTGACTTTTTATGGTGTAAATCAAATCATTCTATAGTGATATTCAAATGTCCTGCATGAAAACACATGAGGAAGATATAACTGAAACATTTGCATTTCCGTTTGATTCCAATCAGAACAATATTTCAGGCGCCGACTGAAGAGTTATTTTGCATACTGCACTTATTCCTGATTTAGAGATTATTATCTAACAACAGCAAAACGCAGGCAGAGAGTAGCAGTACTTCCATATTTAGGGTTGAGATTACAGGGTACATTTTAGACATTTTGAAGGAAAGAACTATTTCTGACTTTAGGATATTTTTTAAACAAATACATGACATTACAGATACTTGACAACTATAGATTGTAGGTAAATAAGCAAGATGTGACAATTAAGTCTTCAAGCCTGAGTGCATGACATATGCTACAGCAGAGCTTTGTCCCTTCCTAGTGGTCATTCAGTAAAACTGCAATCTAGGCCTTCAAATATCGATTATTCTGAAGACTTTTTTCTTGATTAATCAATGTAATGTTTCGTCTATGAAGTATTGGAAAGCAGTAAAAAATATATATATGGCTTTTACATTTTCAATGTGCCCATCATGACTCCTTTAAATAGCTTTTGTTTTTCATCAAAGGAATACTCCAAAACCCAAAGATATTCAATTTACTATCACATACAATACAGAAAAACATCAAATCCTCACATTTCAGCATCTGGACACAGAGAATGTTTGGCACCTTGGCTTAAAAAGTGACCAAAATAATTAAACTAGTTGCACATTCATTTCCCATCTGCTGCAATCTAATTGTGTACATGTTGATGAAACAACAGTGGATACAGGATGAGGCACCAGTCAAGTGATTTACATAAACAACATTTTAATGATGTTAATCATCGGTCCATATAGGTTAAGAGTGATAACAGGATTATGAGAAACAGCCTCTAACAATGTTGCTAGTGATGTACAGTCTGAAGGAAATGGTCTTAAATATCCATATAAAGATGAGGAACACGCTGAAAAAAGTACTTCATTGAACCGTTTTTTAGTTTTGTTTTTTGTTCACATTAGTTACAAGACCTTTACCAGTACGTATTTACATAGTGCAAAAAACACACTTGTTGTCAATTAACATACTTCAAACACTTTGATGGAAGTCATAGCAACAAAAAGCCTACACACAGCATACCCTTTATCAAACTAGAAATACTTTCATAATTTCCAAGTATGATATCCAGTACACTGTCATCTCCCATCTCAGGGCTTCACATTGCATACAGCCCGACATACTGCATTTACACACCGCATCGACTGGCTGAAATCTCTCTATGATTCACTATCAAATTGGATTTCAACTGTTTAAATGTTAAAACTATCAAATGGCTTTAAGAACAGGACGATTGTATTTGTTTTTTAATACAATGCAAAATCAACATCTCTTTTGTACACTTGTATTTACAATGGATTATCATTAGTATGTGCATGACTTTGTGAAGACATGTTTGACTTCCAGTGGTGACTCTGCCCAATGAGGGAGCTTCTCAGCTGTGGTGAACTGACATCAGACTACTGATTGCAGCTCGGTCCCCACAAAATCTGTCTATAAAATCTAGAAAAGCTCTACAAGGATTCTTTTCAGCTGTAAACAACCATGTCTGTTTTTTTTGTAAACTTGGGCATTGTTAAACTTCATAAATACCAGTAAACACCTGCTTGTCCTATTGGTGAATTTGATTTAAGTGGCATTTTTTTAAAAAGGAAGTCAATGCTGGTGAAAACGATGACAGTAACTAAGTTCTGCGTTTACGTGCTTATTAAAATATCTTGGATGGAAGAACGTAAAAATAATCTCAGTGTTGATGGTACATTTGATAAACGTGCCTCTAAAAACGGTGTTAGGTCATTACCAAGTAAGAGACAGCTTGAGGTTCCCCATCAGGGAGCAAAACACCACCAGAGAGAACAAAACAGGAGCACTTTTTTTTTTTTTTTTTATGAAGCACAGACAGCATCTGGGAACTCAAGACAATTCCAGTCAAGAGGAAAACAACCCCAAATAGTTTCACACGAGGCAAGATCAATATGACAAACCATTATATACTGTAGTAGAACCACATAGACAAGGTTATATACACAAAGCTTGTTTTGCTTCTTAGAAGTTAAGTCGTTTGAATCATCTGAATACAGAATGGGCCACTTATTATTTGAACATTAAAAAAAAACACTCTCTGAAGACTGATGGGTGGGAGTGGTTTTGGTAGAACGACAGAACCCCCGACACTGTAATATTCTGTGAGGAAAGCTAAATATCAACCAAAAAGTAATTAAGAAATGCATGTCTCTCCTTCCCACATGGAGCAGTCAGGTGGAAAAAAAAAAAATAACCTCTCACACACACACACACACACACACACACACATTATTTACAAATATAAAGCTAATGAACACAGCAAAATAAATGCAAACTATGTGCCTGTAAAACACACACACACAAGCACAGAAATACTTGCAGAGCGGTAAACCTTCTGAGCTCTGTATAACGTAAGATGGGAGCTGAAAGGTTCCAACCTTCCTTCTCTGTGAGCTACAGACAGCAGTTCAACATTGTTTCAGCGCTCATCACTTGCTCCCAGAAACGTCCCTGACTCTAATCGAGTTCAGCTTCGGAGGAGGAAAATCAAAAACTTCCCTCTAAATTCAAGTGTAGCAGGTTATGGGCAGAAGAAGTGAGGGCATCCTTTTAAATTACACGATAAGTGTTGGTGTCAATTACTAAACCCTCAAACTTTGTTAGTTGTCTTTTGGTCTGTGACCCTGTGTGTTTGTAAGTTGGTCAGTTTCTGTGTGTGGTGTTAATGGTGTGTGTCTGTGAGTGTTGGTCAGTTGGTTGGATACCTGAGATTATGTCTGGTGTCAGGGGTTAGAGACAAAGGAGATAAACTGCTGGCTGTTGTGAAGAGGGATGTGTGTGTGCAACCGAGGACAGAGGGAATGAGTGTATGTACAGAGGAAGAGAGGTGACATCAACCGGTGACCTTCTTTGCCTCCAATTGCTCTTTTCCCTCAATCACTGTCTCTGTGATGTCTGCTGAATCGAGGTCCTCCTCGTCCTCACTCTGCCCTCTCTCCTCTTCGTCCTCTTCCTCTTCCTCCTCCTCCTCCTCCTCCTCCTCCGTACTTTCCTGGCTCTTTCCCAGCTGCAGGTTTTCCAGAGTCTTCGACACCCAGGATTCGATGCGACTGCTGAGGGTGGGTACCTCCACTGAAATAGGTTCAGGAGTGTAGTCCTCCTCCTCCTCTTCCTCCTCCTCCTCTGCCTCCTCCAACATCCCGGGGACCAGGGTGGAAGTGGTTGAGGTGATGGAGGAGTTCAGTGGCCCCCTACAGCTCCCATCCAATGAGCCTGTCTCTGTGCTCTGCTGAGAGGCGAGCTCCAGCCGGTCGTCAACACGGACCTCGTCTCTCTCACTGGTACCCTGTGTCAGAGGCGCTGGTCTGGGCTGAGGAGCAGAGGAGCAAGATGGGGTTGCGTTGGGGGTAGCTGTCAGGGCGTCACTGTCTCTCTGGGTGGCTGTAGAAGGTGCAGGGCGGCTTGGTTCAGCCTCTACAGGCTCCAGGGAATCTGAAGTCTCCACCATACTCCTCCAGTTGGTCTCTGAAGGAATTAATAGATTTGTTATGCTCCATTTTCTTATCTCAGGAACACAAATATTCACTACTTTATACTTCTCTCCACTACATTTACAACTCTCACTTAGTAACTCAGTAAGTCACGGACTATCATGTTTGTACTGCTTGGCCCGCTTGCTGCGGTCCAGCCAAAAAAAACTATGACGAAGATGAAAATCAGAAAGCCAGAAATGTGGGAGCTTACCATACTCCTTTTCATTGACCTCTGAGATGGGCTCAGAGAAGATTGAGCAAAAGGAGATAGCAGAAGCAGCAGAGTGGTTGCGGTAATGCCCCATTTGGTATGGGACTTTCTTATCATTTTTCAGAGCCTCCTCAGCCTGCTCTTGCTCCAGAGCCGACACCATGTCCTTGTAGGCCTTCCTAGCCTCTTCTGTCAGAGACACTAAACGGTTGAAGAGATCCTGAAGGAGGAAGAGGGATTTAGGGATCAGACGGATGAATAATAAAGTAATGACAGCAATGTATTACAATTAAAATGCATGGTAGTGGCTTACCTCGGCTCCAGAATAGTTGAAAATGCCAACCACACTAACAGGCACTAGTTTGTTGACGCAGCGTCCCAGAGCTTTTCTGCCCAAGGCAAACACAAATGGGATCTCCTGCTCCCTAGCCATGGCGATTACATTGTATAAAGCTTCATCCAGACCACCTATAACACAGTAAACAATTAGTGACTCAAATGTACAAAGAAATATAAATACATGAACAAACAGAACAGAAAATACCAGCTAATGACAAGAATGCAAAAAACCAGTTGTTTTGGGAATATCTAAAATGGAGCTACACTTGCATTCTATCATTATGTGACTGCTGGGTTTGTACCCAGTGTAGTGTGTTAATAATGAGTTTTTCTGTTTCAGAATAACGGATTTCTTGTGCCCACTTGAGGGCAGTGGAAACAAGTTGTGAGCACAACACTGGCTAAAAGATCATCACCTTTTAAGTTGATATGGTGAACTTGTTAGGTCACAGTTGCTCATTTACACATCCAGCAGCTACAGATGAACATAACTAGTTGAGTCGTTTCTTTTGGCCAACTAACAAATCTAAGACCAAAATTGACATTTCATTCCTGCCAACTCCTGAGGAAAATGTTCAGCAGCTAGTCTCTAACTGTGTCTTGCTGCTGTGCACGTAGTAGAGAAAACGACGCAGTGAGAGCAGTGACAGTGAACCAAAACAAGTTGCTGCTGCACAGATAAACAATGAGCTTAAAAAGCTCATTACCAAGCTCCATA